GGTTTTTTTTGTTGTTTATTTGGTTTTAGGGGGTTTTTGGTGTGGGGTTTTTTTGCTTGTTTGTTTGTTTCTATGTGAAGTATTTTGCTCTGAGGAGCTGTGAAGTGCTGGTCTTGTGGCACACAAGGTGGGGATGTCTGCAGGTTTCTCACTCCATTGCTTTGGTGGGGTCACCGACTTGAATCTTGAGTTTTTAACAATAAGCAAAAGGCAGTCAATCTAGGAAATACGGTCTCGGTGTTCCCAGCGATCATTTTCTGTTGTTTAGCTTAGCTTACATGATCATCATTGCTTTCAGTAAACTGGTGTGGACCATATCTGAAGGGATATGTCATGCCATGACCTCTCTCTTTTTCATTTGCTTTAGCATTGTTTGTCCTTTTTAGCATTAGGATGCTGTACTGGATTTATGTAACGGTGGCGAGGGAGGAAAGCAGTCCAAATCAATGTGATTGATAAAGCAAACTTCAATTTATTGAATACACAGTGTTAGTTTTATACCCTTTTCCAGAACTACTTGTCGTGATTTTATTGGATAGTCATGATATCATTGGATAGTTCTATTTTACATGCTCCACCTTCAATATAGCAACATACACATAGAGTTCTCAGGGTTCTTCCTTATTCTTTATTATTCTACTTCTCTATCTTGTCCTTGTGTTCATTACCTTGTTACTTTCTTATATACAAGGCCCAAGGCCTACCTTTGTTAAGCTAACAAAGAGACTGCTCATACTTGTGTTAAGCTAGCATAGAGATTGCTTGTACAGTTGCTACTTGTGTTAAACTCTCAGGGAGATTGCAAGGACCCATGGCCTTGCTGCTCAAGCCATTCTTCAACAATTCCCCCTTTTTCTTTTTGTACAAGCAATATCTTATCAGACAATCTTGTTAAATTTTTCATAATGCAATGGTAAGCTATCTTGACTACAACCACAATAAGCAATAGCACAGTAACCCAGTGCAATCCCTCTTTAACGATTGATATCAGCCGAGGAGAAATCCCTCCAAACATTACGAGATGGATCAGCAGCTGATGCAAGAGATAAACAAAAAGCTCGTTGTCCAGTTTGATTCACCCAGGTGACCCACAGATTCTGTCGAGGACTAATGTCAAGGAGGATGGCTTTTCCTCCATTAGTTACCTAATTTACCAACACTAGACAATTTAAAATAGTCCAACCGTTCAGTCCCATGACCTCAGGTCCTTTAGACAGCTTCTCTTCTATGAGTCATGGTTGGCACCATGCAAATCAACAATCACTGTATCTTCTCTCTTTGCTGGACGTGTCCACTTGCTGGGTACCCACAACGGTCCTGTAGGAGTAATAACACACATATAGCCTCTACCCAGATACCGAACTTCAGCAGGGCCCTTCCAAATACCTGTAACAGGTTCTCTGTACATCACATACAATGATTGTCCCCTGCGTTGTCAGTTTTTCTCGAGCCCACTGTGAATATATGCAGGTGAGACCTCCTGATCAGCAAAAATACAAAGATAGTTAATGACAAGTAACACCTTAGAAAGCTTTTCCTGAACATCTAAAATATCACTAAATTTTGCTATATACATTTTCAGAGTTTGATTAGCTCTCTCCACTATAGCCTGTCCAGTAGGAGAGTGAGGCACCCCTGTAATATGTTGTACTCCCCATTATTGGCAAAACTTTCACATTCGCTCGCTAGAATATGCCGGGCCATTATCTGTCTTAAGCTGCTTTGTAACTCCCATCACAGCAGAACAGTTAGTCAAGTGACGGATGACATGAGAGGCTTTTTCGCCCGTCTGGGCTGAAGCCCGCACAAATCTGCTAAAGGTGTCAGTGGTAACATGGACATATTTCAGTCGTCCAAACTCAGGAATGTGCGTGACATCCATCTGCCATACCTCATCCGGGCCTAGACCCTGAGGGTTCACCCTAATGCCGAGACCTGGACCATGATGACTGCAGGTAGGACATGCCTTCATGATTCCTCTTGCTTCTTCCATTGTGATGTTGAACTGCTTGTATAGACCTCGAGCATTTTGATGAAACGTCGCATGGGCCTCTCTAGCCTTGGTAAATTCATTGCTGGGCACCGTCACTGACACTAACTGATCTGCCCGTGCATTGCCTTCACCCAGTCCTTCACTCCACTGATGACTCTTAATATGCAGAACTGTGTATGGCTCCTTCCTTTGGAATATAGCAGCCTGTAACTGTCTCATGAGATCAAATAAACAAAGGTTCTGGATATCTTTAATTCTAGCACTCTCTATCCATTGGGCAATTCCAGCCACATATAATGAGTCAGTTATCACGTTCAATGGATCTTGTGACCAATGCTTGAATGCAGTTGGTTCCAGCGTTTGCTGTGTATCACCAGGTTCTGCTTCCAGAATGATGTGACACCACTGGTCTTCCTTAAACCGCTCGCCGCTTAAACTGCTCGCCGCGATCGTTTCCCAGCATCCATGAAGACCGTAATGGCTTCTTTCAGGGGCTACTCACTTCACTTTGGTAGTGAAAGCCATTTGTGTTGGTTGATCCACTTTAACACTGATGTTTTTACAGAGCTAATGTTGATCTCTTGGGCAGCACTTAAGATGCTACATAGATGCTGCGTTGTAATGCTTGTGAGTATTGCAAATACCATTCCAAGTCTGCTCTTTTTATAGGGAGACACATTGTTCCTGGTTCTTTCCCCGATATCTGTAATACTCTGGTATGGCCTTTCTTAATCAGTTCAGCAAGATCATCCACCTGTTGTTGAATTGTTGTCTTAGGCTGTATACCGGTGAATAACTATTCCAGGACCTTAGGCTCCTTCTCCCCCTTTTTCTTTTTGCACTGTGTCAGTGCCCCAACAAAGTGTATGGCTCCTAACAGAATAGTCAAGTCTATATCCAATAGCGGGTCAAGACGGTCAACTGTACGATCCGCTATAGTTGTAGCAATCTGCATGATCTTGTTGTGCTGTGCAGCTGTGAGTGTCACTGGTTGTGCAGGATCAGTTCCTTTTAATATTGGCCGTAAAATTTCTAGCTCATCGTTGGTAATTCAAATCACAGGACGTAGCCACTGCAAATCTCCCATGAATCTTTGAGCATCATGTAAGGTTTTGATCTCTATCTGAATGGTCAGTTTCTGTGGCCGAATGTGTGATTCTGTAATAATCCATCCCAGGTATTTCCATGGAGCCTCTTTTTGAATCTTGTCAGTATCTATAATTAATCCCTGCTGTTCAAACTGTTGAGTCAAGAACGTCTCGTGGTCTCGAGAAAATGGAAGTTCTTGAGCTATCAGGATGTCATCCATGTAGTGAAAAAGTAACGTTTCTGGCCAAGCTGCTCAAACGGGTTGTAATGCTACATTAACGAATAGTTGACACAATGTGGGACTGTTCTTCATTCCTTGAGGCAACACTATCCATTCATACCGGTTGGCTGGGGCCTCCCGGTTTATAGCAGGTACTGTAAAGGCAAAACGTTGTGTATCCTCAGGATGGAGTTTGATTGTGAAAAAACAGTCCTTTAAGTCTATAATCAATAAGTTCCAATGTTCAGGCAGCATTGCTGAATTAGGTAGGCCAGGTTGTAAAGCCCCCATGGATTTGCATCTGTTGGTTAACAGCACTTAAATCATGTAAGAGACGATACTTGCCAGATTTTTTCTTTATTACAAATATAGGTGTATTCCAGGGACTAGTAGATGTTTTTTTATGTCCTTGCTGTAGCTGCTAACTCACTAGCTCATGCACTTGCTGTAGACTTTCCTTCTTCAGCAGCCACTGCTCGATCCAAACAGGTTCCCTGGTTAACCACTGTAATGGAATCGGGAAAGTCCTCACAGTGACCGCCATCAAAAGTACAAACAGTCCTTTTAATCTACTGGACGAACGTCCCAACAACAGTGCTCCATGTGTCTGTCCCTTAAGTATCACCAGTCCTTTAAGTCCAGTAGGAATCTTTTGGGGTTTATTATCAATGAGAGTCACATCTATTGCGGTTGCCGAGTCCAAGCCGAGGCTGCCGGATGTTGCAGGCTGTATTTTGTCGGTAGTTTGCAGTTGTCGTCGCAAGATGGCGCTGTTGCTACATGACCTGCCGTTGGTGTCTTCGCGCTGAGCTCCCAGCGCTCACTCTCCCGTTTCCCGACTTTCTGCAACAGGCTTCTGTAGTATGGCTGTTCATCCCGCAGTTTTGACACCAGACATGTTGCACCTGGCACTGACGTCGCAAATGTCCTCTGTGCCCACAGCGGAAACATTTTAAGTCTTTATGTTTAACAGTCTTTACTTCTCCGGGATCCCTCTTGATGAAGAAGTGCCAGCGCTGCAAAGGCTTGATTCTGGGCTTGCACTAGATTTTTCCCTAGCTCCCTCACTGCATCCACTAACATTGCCTGTGATCCTACCGGCACCCTACTCATCCGATCTAACATTTCCTCTACTGTGGCATCTCCAGACAGTGTCACAATAATAGCCCTAGTAGCAGCATTACTGTTCTCCATAACACATTGCCGTAATAATGCTCCCTTCATCCACTCCTGCACATCTGAACGATTCAGTGCATCGGTAACCCTATCCACAAAGCTAGCAAATGACTCTTCCCTGCCTTGCTTAATAGACATGTAAGACGGAGTGGGTGACGTTGTCTTAATTAATGTCATAGCTTCCCGAGCTAAACCGCATTGATTCCCTTAATACAGCTCGACCTAGTTGTATCTGCATATCTATAGTAGCAAAAGGACCTACACCCATCAAATGTTCCACCATAATACCATGCAATGGGTCCTGCTGCTCTCGGGGGATGTTAACTGCCCTGACACAAAGTCTATTCCAATGCACTTGCCACAACATTAATTGCGACTGCGTCATAATCATTCTCACAATGGTCTTAATATCCTCTGGACAAAGAATTCCACTGCCCCAAATACAATTCAACATTTGCCTAGCAGGTTCACTGTTTAACCCAGATTCATTTACGGTAGCACATAACTGTGACAACAACTTCCAATCAATAGGATTATACTCTCCTCTTACCCTTTGATCTGTAGCCTCAAAGAACATCTGAAACGCACAAGATTCCTGCATAACACTTAACAAGTCATAATCACCCTTCTCAATAGCTGCCCGAGAAATCTTCTGCCAGTTTATACTAGCGACGCTCCCGTGAAACTTTTTCCAAACTTCCCTTCCTGATTACTAGCACTTTTCACTACCAGCTCATTCTCATGATTTTCTGCTGTCTCTTGTTTCAACTCCTCGGCGTTCTTTGCATTCTTTGACAGTCTGCCGTCTCCACTTTGATCTTTTAACTGCGGAGCCGAGTGCCCCCTCCCCCAGAAGCACTATCAATCAAAGGTTTCACAAACACCGAGCACCCTGTCAGGGGAGTAGGCACATAATCGACCCCTAACTGGAGCTTGCCTGCCTCTTTATCCGTACCTACTCCTTTTAAATGACTGGCAGCAACTGCTACTATTTTTTCCTCTGCCTGATACTGTTTAAGACAATTTATCACTGTCCGCCACGGCTTCATTAACTTTTTTGCACCCGTATCATCATCTATTACCATATTCCACAACAAATCACCGTACTCTCGCCAGGCCTCAACCTGAAACAACGCACCTGGATCCTTAAAGCAACCTTCATCTTTCCCAAAAGCTACCAACCCCACTAACTCCTTTTTAAGGTCAATATCCTTTACTCCCCGCTTTTCTAAAAAGCGTAATAATAAATCAAGAGCTACCTCACTTTCCATTCTGTCAGTATCTATCCCTGACAATAAATTGTGCAGCCTTGTACCTTGATTTCGGTGCGCACCTCTTGTACCTGGATTATGGTAGCCCAACTGGACGGCGAACCTCTGCTATCAGGTCAGTTCAAGCACGGATCAGCCTGTCGATGCCAGCATGCTGGCATGTCGATGCAACCGATCTTCTGCTCCCTGGCGCTGCTTACCGGTGCCTGTCCGAACTCCCACCGTATCAGTGAGAACAAGGAGAGAGGGTCCCTGTTCGGGCGCCACTTGTAACGGTGGCGAGGGGGGAAAGCAGTCCAAATCAATGTGATTGATAAAGCAAACTTCGATTTATTGAATACACAGTGTTAGTTTTATACCCTTTTCCAGAACTACTTGTCGTGATTTTATTGGATAGTCATGATATCATTGGATAGTTCTATTTTACATGCTCCACCTTCAATATAGCAACATACACATAGAGTTCTCAGGGTTCTTCCTTATTCTTTATTATTCTACTTCTCTATCTTGTCCTTGTGTTAGTTACCTTGTTACTTTCTTATATACAAGGCCCAAGGCCTACCTTTGTTAAGCTAACAAAGAGACTGCTCATACTTGTGTTAAGCTAGCATAGAGATTGCTTGTACAGTTGCTACTTGTGTTAAACTCTCAGGGAGATTGCAAGGACCCATGGCCTTGCTGCTCAAGCCATTCTTCAACAGATTTACATGACAAGGTTTTGGTAGAGTGGATGTCCACAGGAGTGACTTCTGTGAGAAGATGCCAGAAGCTTCTTCCATGTCTGACAGAGCCAGCCAGTTCCAGTTAAGTCCAAGACAGACCCGCCTCTGGCCAAGGCTGAGCCCATCAGCAATAGTGGTAGCACCTCTGTGGTGATGTATTTAAGAAGGGGAAAAAACTGCTGCACAACAGCAGCTGGGAGAGAGGAGGGAGAAGGCTTTGGGCAGCCTGGTCTAGTGTGAGTTGTCCCTGCTCATAGCAGGGAGGCTGAAGTCTGGTGGTCTTTAAGGTCCCTTCCAACCTGAACCATTCTGTGATTACATGCAACAGCCCTGCAGACTCCAAAGTTAGTGAATAAGGAAGGTGAGGAGGTGCTGCAGGTGCTGGAGCAGAGATTCCCCGCATGCCCTAGTGAAGACCTTGGGGAGGTAGAGTGTCCCTCTGCAGCCCATGGAGGCCCACAGTGGAGTGGATATTGACTTGCAGCCTTTGGAGGACCCCACACCATAGCAGATGGATACACCCAAAGGAATATGCACTATGTTGTGTGAGGATGACTGTAAGAATCTTCAAAATCCTGTATCCTGTAAAATCCTGTAAAAGTATCCTGTATTATTTTTTTTATTATTATTTCTGGGCTCAGGGAAATGAGAAATAACTGCTCACATGGAGGTTGTTTTGGATATGGATGGATTTGTTTCAGGGTAATTCTGCTTCCTTTACAAGGGTTAAATTTTGTATAACACATCTGTCAGCTGCACCATGGAAATAAATTACATAATGCTCAAAGTAGTTAATGTTAAGGATGATTCTGCTAGGTGGTTGGTTTTTTTTTTGAGACAGAATGCTGTCTCAGATGTTGTAAGCTGGGGTAAAACTTGTCAGTACTTTTCAAGGCTGTTGTTGGTAGTCTGTAGAGGCCCTCACCAGCTCTCATGAGTCTGACTCTCCTTGGTTTTTTGGTGTAAGTCTGTCAAAAATAGGAGACAGTATTCTGTAGTTGCCTTTCCAGTTCCTGGGATTCTTCTGCGGAAATTATGCCATTCCTGGGAAGGTGAGAAAGGGGTTGTGAGAAATAATTAGGCTTGTAGGTGGTTAGAGAAGGGGTTTAGCATACTGACAGAACTGGGCAGTAACCATGGTTCCTAAAAGGTGACAAAGCAGTTGTTCAGAATTTTTTGTATTAATAGAAAATGGTCTCCAAATGAAAGTAGCTACATAAACTGAAGAAAAGGAAAAACCCTCAACTTTTGTTTTCTTTAATATTTTCACAGTAAGTCTTGACCTAATAATGATAGCTTCCACACCTTCACTGTCAAAAAGCAAGACACTGGGTTAAGAGAAAGGTTTAGTTTTTAGTTTTGTTTTGTGGTTGGGTTTTTTTTTTTACTAACTCCAGATTTAGATAGTGCCAAAGCTCCATTTTATAAATCAACTTGGAATTTTCTGCAATGATTTTGGTTGTCTTTTGGCTCTGCAGTTACTACCAACCACGGCTATGCTTCTCCTAAACCTTTTCTTACTGTTTTTCTCTTATTGTATCATCACCTTCAGTGTACAGATGCCAGGAAAACTGACAGAGCTATAAGCACAACATAAAGTGTAAGGAAAGACCGTCCTAGTACTCGGGGCGCCAACTATTGGAAGACTAAACAGTGCACTCCAGAGCAAAATTAGCAGAATACAGGAGGCAGGAGCAGTCTAGAGAGGCACAGTTTAGAAACGTTGCTTGAGCGTACAGAGATGTTAAAAAAGCTGATGCTCAGCGCGAATCTAAACTTGAAAAAGATGTCAGCGGCAGCAAGAGGAGCTTCTGCTGTTACATGAATAGTAAAATTTTAAGAAAGAGAGGTAGGACATCTTCATTTTCCTAAGAGAGCGGGCTCACACCCGTTGAGGTTGCTTTGTGTTTATATTCAGAATGTTGTGGAGATGTGCAATGACTGCAGAAAGGCAAGTACTGACCCATTTTTTTAAAAGGCAAAAAGGTCAGCTTGGATTACAACAACCATGTCAACCTAGCTTCAGTCTGTGGGAAAATCACAGAGTGCGTCCTCTTGGAGCGTATTTCTGGGCATGAAAAGGAGGAGGATGCAATTGACTACAAGCCAGTCAGAGCTTATATAGTCTCTGGAAAGGCTGAGGACCATATCCGTCTAGAAGCCATTTCTAAATGCAAGAACAAGGTATGACTAGAAGCAGTCAGCTTGGATTTACGAAGAACAAAAAATGGCTTCTTGGCCAGCTTAATTGCTTTCTATAATAAAGTTACTTGTGCCTTGAACAAGGAGACAGTAGTCAATTTTGTATGCTTTAGCAAGAGCTTTGATATAGTGTTCAGTTGTCTCCCTATCACCAAACTGGTGAAAAATGGCTT